TTTTTGATTTCTATTAAATAATATATCTTCACATTATTGCTGCATACTATATATAACGATGAAATAAGATATCGATGCTTTCGTTAACTGTAATAATGAAGTGCATACGTTTCTTATATTGCACCGTGAAACATGCTAAATATGCTCTAAATATTGCAGTTTATGGTATATAATATTTCTTACCATGGCAAAACACTCTAATGATATTACAAATAGTCCAGCGATATTTAGGCCGAAAGTTTTACTGCCCCTTTGCAAAATCAACAGTATCATCTTCTGTACGTGTAATGGTGCATTATACCATCGAACATTGTAACTACAAAATAATATGATAAATAATAATAAACTACTAATGAAGAAGATATGTACCTATCTACTAATATATACAGGGTGTTAAAAAAAGAGGGTTATATATTTCGAGAGCAAGTAGTATTGATCAAAACAAGAAAAAAAAGTCTAATTAACATAAGTTCTACAATTAATATCTTCGAAGATACAGGCTATTTTTCTAGTTGAGCTCCTTGTCTTTTTCTTATTGGTTGTGTCACCTCTACAATGCAATAAACAAAAGAGTATTTACTAGTTTTGCTATAATAACATTGGGTTGTAATAATATCGGGTTTGTAGGTATCAGTATGAGATTATATTAAGAGGGCATATCCGTTTGAACTTACGAAAAATGAATACATTTTCTAGATTTTTTTCAGCGCAATGACTTAATAAAAACTTTTTATTTTTTTATAATATTAATACAATATTATAGTACTTAAATAAACATTTTGAGCTCAAAAAAAAATATTTTTTTTTTAAGTTTAAAGAGAGCAATAAAGTTTTGTTAGACTGTGCAGTTTAATCAGTAAACATATATAATGGAAGCCTATTATTCCACGAAAAATGGCAGATATGATTTTATGTTATAAAACTAGAAAGAACTCTTTTGTTTACTGCATTGTAGAGGTAATACAACCAATAAGAAAAGGACAAAGAGCTCAAATAGAAAGATAGACTCTATTTTCGCAGATAATTGTAGGACCCATATTAGATTTTTATTTCTTGTTTTGATCAATACCACCTGTTCTCATAATATGTGACACATTTTTTAACACTGTGTATGCAATTGCCAACAACACATCAAATTGTTCCTTACGCGGTGGAGTATACCTATATGAGTACTATAATTTAAAATTTCTTGCCCAGCATAATTAGATACAAACATATATAAAAAGATGACAAGTACAAATATCAGATGTAATATAAATGCTTTCTTTTTTCCAAGCGATGCATTACGAAAGATCTAAAATTATGATTGTGATTAACATATAATATTTTGTATGTATAATATTTACTGATTATATCTACAAATAAATAAGATAAAACGGGCAAATGAAAGCCAATGCGCTGCATGAGAGGCGCCAAAAATATATTATTCTTTGTAGGTGTAATTGTGTTTAGTAGACGTTTCGATCCTCGAATATTAGACCATTTTCAATAATTTGACATAGTATAAATAATGTCAAATTACTGAATATGGTCCAATATTCGGGGATCGAAATGTCGAATAAACATAATTATACCTACGAAAAATATATTTTTGGTATTTTTTATTCAGCACGTTGGCTCTCATTTGCCCATTTTATCTTATTTATTTGTGTATATTACTATTTAGAGCCTAATATACTAAATTATCTTATTGATTATACACCGAGAAAAAAAAAGTTGTTAACTTTACTAAATGTGTTCAACTGATTACTATTCTTTAATTGAAATATTTAACTATTTAAGTCAAATACGTCATATTAGATTTAATATGTTGTATTTGATTTAAATATTTAAATTTTTAAATTAAAAAATCAGTAGTAATCAGTTGAACGCATTTAGTCAAGTTAACAACTTTTTTTCTCAGTGTAGTCATAATTACGCAATAAAAAAGTTATAGACAAGAAGTACAAAAAAACAATTTTTATATTAAGATTTCTGTTTTTTAAAATTTTATGATTTTATAATTAGCACCAGTTGATATGCATATCATCAATTAAATTGGTAAAAGTGACGTTTAGAGAATGCAGACCCGATGACCTTGACCTTGACATATGTTGTCAAAGTCACCCTCCTGAGTGACCTTCAGAAGGTTTTAGCCGTCGCTCGTTTTTTATTAAAAAGTTATTAATTAAAATATTATTTATTGAATGTGTCTAATACTAATACATTTTCACATCTTGGACACGTTATTTCGCCACGAACAACTTTCTTCTCACACAAAAAATTCCACAAAAAATCAAAATTGTATGTCAAATTGATAAATTCGTGCAAATGTATGTTGAAAATTAAGGAAATCTTGAAATTATCTAACTGATTGATACACGACTATATGACATACTGAGAGTGGTGATGTAGATACGTGTAATATACAAACATTCATTGCATTCCCAAACACTGATTTGTTTTGATTTTTTTTTTGATATTCTTACTTAGTATGTTACTCACTATATGTTGTTTATATGGCAGTCGGCATGAATTACCAAGCTTATATTTTAAAGATAGAGAGAAATTAAATTAGAAATAGGTTTGGGTTAGGTTATTCCTTCCGAAAGTGGATCCCCCCCGTAGGGGTACGGAACCCACTGTTTTATGCATACACTTTTTAATGCAAAGTGAGGTTCCACATGGGTTTACAACTTTCCACGCGAAGCGAGGTTCAACGCAAACCAATATGTCTAGTTCTTTGATAGTGGAGACCCCGAAGGGGGGGCCGGAACATACTGCCTCCACGCATATACTTTTTAATGAGAAGTGAAATTCCACATGGGTTTACAACTTTTCACGCAAAGCGAGATTCAACTTATGTGCAACCCATGTAGAATCTCACTTTGCTTTAAAAAGTGTATTCATGAACACAGTAGGTTCCGCCCCCCCTACGGGGGGGCTCCACTATCAAAGAACTTCACACATTGGTTTGCATTGAACCTCGCTTCGCATGGAAAGTTGTAAACCCATATGGAACCTCACTTCGCATTAAAAAGTGTATGAATAAAACAGTGGGTTCCGCCCCCCTACGGGGGGGCTTCCCTTCCGGAAGAAATAACCTAACCCAAATCTATTTCTAATTTAATTTCTCTCTATCTTTAAAATTCCTCTGTGCATTCATATATTTATTTATTTCACACATTCAATAAATAATATTTTAGTTAATAACTTTTTAATAAAAAACGAGCGACGGCTAAAACCTTTCGAAGGTCACTCAGGAGGGTAACCTTGACAACATATGTCAAGGTCAAGGTCATCGGGGCTGCATCCCCTAAACGTTACTTCGGTAAATATAGCGAATCCCCTATTCGCCATATTTATCCTTTGCTTTACTCAGCTCTTTCTTAATCTTTTCTGTTCTACTTTACTCTTTTATCTTTTAATATTGGAAAATAGATCGGGGTACGACACATGTTTCATAATTGCATAAAAGTGAGCGTTTGCTACGATGGGCAGTCAAATATAAACCGAACTTTTTACTTAATACTTTTTATTCAATCTAAATAATCCCAACGCATACTTAAATCAATTTTCTATAGTTTCCATTAACATCTAAATACTTTTGTCACCGGATTGGTAGTTTTTTATTCCCGTGTCATAAGAAGTAGTGGGATGTGTCTGAAGCCAATTGCGCAAAACCAACTATTTTAGAAAAAATTCTTTATTTGATGAAAATATTTCCAACGCACATCCAAGTCATTTTTTTATATAATTCCCACTAAGCACTTTTGCCACCGGATTGACAGTTTTTTAATTCCCGTGTCATAAAAAGTAGTGGGACGTATCCGAAGCTAATCGCACACAAAGAAAATGTTGCTTCTGCACGACAACGCTAGGCCTCACATCGCCATAACCCAAAAGAAATTGCCTCAACTGCACTGCACCACCGTTGAACATCCCCCTTACAGCTCTTATTTATTCCGATGTGATTATCATTTGTTTGGACCATTGAAAAGGGCGTTGGAAGGACAACGATTCGACAATAATGTTAAGGTGGATGAATTCGTGCGCAAATCGTTGGCTTTGAATATGTTCCCCTACTTTTTATGACACGGGAATAAAAATTTTATTAACGTGACACACACTTTAATAATCTACATGTTATTATTTCAAACGTAAGAAATATTTTCTGGCTCATTTTTGTCAAATAAAATGTCTTCGCATCATTGCTGTATAGAACATAAAACGGTGAAATAAGATATTGATACTTTTGTTATCTGTAATAACAAAATACGTCTCTTAGGTTGCAATATGAAACGTGTTGAAATATTTCAATTTGTGATATGTAGTAATTCTTACTATAACAAAATTTTCTATTGATAATGTAAACAGTCCGGCAATACTTTGATGGGTAGTTTGACTGCCTCTTTGTAAAATAAAAAGTATCATTTTTTTTTTTAAATATTTTATAATTTTATAATTAGCACGATTTGTTATGCACATTATTAATTAAGATTATATATTATTTTTTTATAATATCACTTATCTATAAATTTATCTTGTTTAAATTATGTATATATAATTGCAAACAACACATAAAATTGTTTCTTACGTGGTGGAGTATATATAATTATTATGACTGAAAAGCATTTCTCCAACGTAATTAAATACAAACAACCATAAAAAAATGCCAATTATTTCCACAAAATAAAGTAAAATAGCATTCTTAGTTCCATGCGTTGCATTCCAGTACACCTAAAATATCGTAATTGTGTTTAACACAATTTCGTACGAGCAATTATTCATTATAGTCTAGGTATGTATAATAAATATATAAAAAGAATATAGACAAGAAATACAAGAAAAAAAAGTCTTTTTAATGTTGAAATTATCCTGTTTTTAAATATTTTATAATTTTATAATTAGCACGATTTGTTATGCACATTATTAATTAAGATTATATATTATTTTTTTATAATATCACTTATCTATAAATTTATCTTGTTTAAATTTTTGGTTATTATTAGATACATGCATATCCCTCTTAAAAATGTTTCTAAAACACGAAAAAAGTACTTACTGCATAAATACTCAGGCTCAAACAAATCACACTATAAATTATTAATAACAGAAACGAGCCTTCAAAATTAGATAGCAATACATTGATGAACCTTTACGAAAAACAAAATTATTACAAGTGTTATACATATAATTGTTATACGCATACCAACTTTATAGCCTTGCAATGTATTTCGACGGCATTGAATATTTTTTTGTTATAAATCATAGCTCGATTCTTCAAGTTAATGTTTTTAAGCATTTCGGTCGTCATTATTTGCTCCATACGATAACTATGATTAATTTATTTGCTGTAAATATGTAGTTCTCCCAAAATTGTATTAACAAATTAAAACAAACAAACAAATAAAGATATTGTTTGTAGTCATACATATCATGTCCATTTCTAACTTCATTATTCACCTTGCAAGTTTAAATATTCCACATGCGTGTATGGCGCATCCTAAGAGCATTGTTCCTATCGCTGTCAATGTAGTCACTCCAATACAAAAAACTGCGTCTGTATGCAGTAAAATTAAATAGTAATATTTTTCTTGATCGACAAAATATTCAGTCACGATTTGTATTGTCTGACTCTGTAGTTGAGACTCGTTTATGTACAAGACAGTACCAAGGATTTGTGGCCAAATAGGCAGTACAGTAAGAATAAATACACAGCATATGGCGAATGCTAAAAACATTTAAAGGAAATTGTTATACAAGTTGCTCTTTTTATGTTTTATAAATCACAAATTAGTTAATCAGTCTAATCTAAATATTTAATTTGTCTCACGATTTGAATATGCTCAACTTAATGACATAAACATAGTCGATAAGAAATACCGTCTTACATGTAATTATAACTGTATAACGTCTTGTGTTATCTTTATACTTTTTAAAGATGGTAAGTTCGTTTTCATCTTTTAGATCATTACAGATGCAGTGTAGTTGCTCCAACAAATTTCTCACCTACTATCACAGCAATATTTAACGTTGTTTTGAAAAAGTTGCAAAAGGTTGTGATATATAAAAATTTATTTGTTTTTGGAATATTGATTCATACAAATTGGTAAAAAATTAACTTACGTGATGGGTGTTAATCCAAAACATGGTGTACACAATTACGTAGATATTAAAGAATATTGTGGAAGAAAAAACTTTGATGATAAAATCAACAGTGCATTTTGTAGTTATAAGCGCTGTAAGCTTCAACAAATCAATTTATTGAAAATGTTGCATAACAAAATCATTTTTCTTTACACAGATCAAAATGATAATCTGCTTTGTATAATAATATATAATAACGTAATAATAAAACTTTAATAATTATGTGTTGCAGTTGAAATATATTCTACTATCAATAATTAAATATAATTTGATCATGTTTTGTAATTGCATAAAAGTGAGCGTTTTCTATGATAGGCAGTCAAATATAAACCGAACTTTTTGCAATACTTTTTATTTGATCAAAGTAATCCCAATGCACGAGTCATTTTTCTACATAAATTCTACTAACATCTAAGCACTTTTGCCACCGGATTGATAGTTCTTTTATTCTCGTGTCATAAACAGTAGTGGGACATATCCGAAACCAATTGCGTACAAAAAAAAATGTTGTTTCTGCACGACAACGCTAAGCCTCACATCGCCGCCATAACTCAAGAGAAATTGGCTCAATTGCATTCACATCCCCCTACAGCCCCGATTTATCCCCTTGTGATTATCATTTGTTCGGGCCACTGAAAAAGACATCCAAAGGACAACGATTCAACAATAATGTTAAGTTGGATGAATTCGTGCGCAAATCGTTGGCTTTGAATATGTCCCCCTACTTTTTATGACACGGGAATCAAAAAACTGCCAACCCGGTGGCAAAAATGTTTAGATATAAGCGGAAATTCCGTAGAAAAATGACTTGAATATGGGTTGGAAATATTTTAATTGAATAAAAAGTTATTGAAGAAATTCGGTTTATATTAAACTGCCCTTCATATAATTAGTGATAATTTTTGTAATGCATATTCTAGAATAATATGAATAAAAATATGGACATACCTGAAATACAACAAAACTTGTCAAAATACCAAAACACAAAATGGCCTGAAGTTGACTAAATTTTGAGTTTTGATACGGCCATAAGCCGATTGCAAGTAGCAGGATCCGATTAAGATCAAAATGTTGAGTCTCAACGCAAATCATTACTGTGCGAGCATAGGAACTGGACTGCGGAGAAATTGATAAAGATTTGCCTCTATCCCCTCCTTTCTCTTCTTCAAATAAAGTATTCTTCAACTCTTACCGTATTTTTAGAATAAATTTTGTCATAAATTATCTAATACATGATAAATATCAAACTGCACAAAATAATGTGGAAACGAAACTTTTTTTAATTTAACAATTTTGTGAAGTGGTGATGAAGCGATCAATTTTACATGAAAGGAAATTTAAGAAATGAGTATTTCACACAGAGAAACATACATTCATCAGGTACCTTATCGATCGGCGCAAGCGCGATCGCTCTTTTTTCAAGGAACAGGGTTTTATGTGCTTCATTCTTGTGCGTGCGCTCGTGGAAGGAGTTTGTCTTTCTAAAGTCTAAAGGAACAGAGTCGATCCGCTTTACATGTGCTGGCAAATTAGCTATAAAACTATTGCCATCAATATATAAGGTACAAACTGTGATTCAGTGTTTTCTACATTTTATAATAAGCGAAACTGTATAATTGTTGCTTTTAATTAAAACACATATACATGTGTTTCATTATTTCATATTTTATCTATATTTAATGCATATTAGATCTCTTGTAATATATTACTTACCGCTTTATATGAAGCAGATATTAATATTATTTTACTTGTTTGAAAATATACACGGTAATTCTGTATACATTTGTAGAAAAATTAACTTTAAATATTCTATAACATATCATTCGTATTGTTTCATACTTTCTCAGAACATTTCTCACTTGACGTACATATTTCATAATATAAAATATGTATCCATTATAGGAAAATAAATTATTGTGAATTTGCGATTTCTTAATTGTCTAAACAGTGCAACAGTCAAAAAACAAAACGCTGTTATCAGGGTATATTATTTAATTTATGCAAAATGTATTAAAATCATAATACACTTTTTCAAACTGGAAAATATTTTCTGAACGATTTCTGTTATCGATAGTGTATCTTCGTATCATTGCTGGGTAGAATACATAAAATAAGACATCGATGCTTTTGTTAACTGTAATAAAAATGAATGATAAATAACGTTTTTAACATTGCATTATATGGAACATGTAAGCTATAAATATCGCAGTTTATATTATGCAATATTCTTACCGTGAAACACTGTAAAGATATTACAAACATTCCGGCGATATTTACGTTGAAAATTTTGCTGCTTTTTTGCAAAATAACGTGTATCATTTTCTATGCATGTAATGATGCCATATACCATCGAACATTGTAATGTATTTATAAAATAATGTGATAAATAATGATAAACTATTAATGAGAAAGATATGTATTTTATATACTTATATATATGCAATTGATATATTAACAATACATAAAATTGTTTCTTGCGTGGTGGAGTATACATGATTACTGTAATTTGTAACCTTTTGATTGACATAATTAGTTAAAAACATATATAAATACAGGACAAATACAAAAAACAGGTGTAATAAAAATGCTTTTTAATTTTCAAGTGATGCCATACGAAGAGCTTAAAATCTGTTGTGTTCAACATATTTCTTATGTATTTAACAATTACTTAGTGTAGTCATAATTATGCTATAAAAGAGTTATAAACAAGAAATACAAAAAAAACAATTTTTATATTGTTATATCTTTGTTTTCTAAAATTTTATGTTATTATAATTAACACGAATTGGTATGTATATTATTAATTAAATTTATATCTTATCTTTTTATCATATCTTTTTTTATTTATGAATTGTATAAATTTTTGTTATTGTTAGATACATGCATATCTTTTTTAGAAATATGTTTTTAGAACACGAAGAAAAAAACACTTTTTGCAAATACATTCAGGCTCAGAAAAATTACAATTACCGTTATTAACAAAAGCAAGCCTTCAAAACTAAATAATAAAGTCGGTGAATTTTTATAAAAAATGAAATGTTATTACACATACTATATAATTGTTATCGCATGCATAACAATTTCATAGCTTTGCGATGGATTTCGACAGCATAAAATACTTTTTTTATAAAACATTGTCTGATTCTTCAAGTTAATATTTTTGAGCATTTTGTTCGTCATTGCTTGCTCCATACATTCTTTATGATTAATTTGTCTGTTATAAATATATAATTCTCTCAAAATTATATTAACAAATTAAAACAATCAAACAAAAAAGTTTTGTTTACAGTCATACATTTCAAGTTTTTTTCTAATTTCATTATTTATCTTGCAATAGTGAATAGTCCACAGTATATGATGCATCCCAAAAGCATCGTTTTCGTCGTTGTCAATATAATCGACCCAATTCAAAATACTGCGTTCGTATGCAGTAAAACCAAATAGAAATATTTTTCTTGCTTGATAAAGTACTCACAATCAGTCGTGGTTTGTATTGCCTGATTCTGTATTCGAGATTTGTTTATGTGCAGAACAGTATTACGGATATGTGGCCAAATTGGCAGGAAAATATGAAAAAATGTATAATATATGGCAAACACTATAAACATTTAAATAAAATAATTTTAAAATTGCTTTTTTATATTTTATAACGTATGTTATTTATGCATAATTCTATAATAATCTCTCTCTTAAATTTTGCCATTTTTTAATAACTTTTTTGCTCTGATATTTTTGCAGAATGTTGACTATGATATATTTTCACTATGCTACTATTAAATAGTAAACATCTTGTATATGTATATATAAATTGTAGAAATTACACATAGGTATGTCAATATGTTTTTAACCATACAAGTTTTATATCTTTAATTATTTTGATGGAAAGGTGCAATATTTAAGCTAAGAGTCAAAATATAATTAATCAGACTAATTTAAATATTTAACTTTTCTCTCGATTGGAATATTCTCAATTTCATGACATACCGGGCGGAGCAATAACTATTACCACCTTAAATATCTTCGAATCTGTAAAGTCCAGAGAAGATCTGTGTAACCAAAATTGCACGGTACGAAGGGGGTTATCATATATTTTTTTATTTTTGATAATAGTGAATGTTTAGACGATTTCAACAATCTATAATATATCAAATAAAGAAGTAAAACAATGATTCTTACGTTATATGAGATGCTCGAAGTGATGTCCATTTGGATCGATGCAACATTGCAATCGTTGAATTCCATGAAGCATGTACACTTTTTAATATTTCCGGACCGATTGTTGCACATGCTGCAATAATTCGTTGCTTCATATTTTCCGCTGTGTTCGCCATTTCCTGGTATACAATATCATTTAATATTCCTCCCGAAGTGTTAAGAAGTGTATGTGCTTCAGGAAATCAACGATTGTAGTGTTGCACCGATGGAAACGGACATCACTTCGAGCATCTCTTATGACGTAAGAATCATTATGTTACTCCTTTATTTAATGCTGAATGATTTTGGATTATAGGTCGTTAAAATTGTCTGTACATCCGCTATTATACCAAAAATAAAAAAAATATAGCATGCCATTTAAAAAAATGGAGGTAACTTTGAAATCTCCGAATGGTTTCCACCTGGACAAAAATTATTGGCGCCGTATGATAGCTTCCTTCGCACCGTGCAATTTTACAGTTACGCGAATCTTCTTCTGGATCTTATAGATTCGAAGATATTTGAGGTGGTAATAGTTATTGAAAAGACCAGTATAGTAGTTGGTAAGAGATACTTACATGTAAATATAGCTGTACAACGTTTTGTGTTATTTCCATACATTTTAAAGATGGCAAGTTTGTTTTCATCCTTTAACTCATTACAGACACACTGTAGTTGCTCCAACAAATTTCTCTTCTATCGTTACAACAATATTTAAATTGTTTTGAAAAAGTTGGAAAAAATTGCGATATATAAAAATTTATTTATTTTAGAAAGTATTGATTTATTTGACAAGATATTAATTTATACAAGATTTAAACAATTATCTTACATGATGAGTGTTAATCCAGAACATGTTGTTGTTAATTATGTAGAAACTAAAGAATATTGTGGTAGATAAAATTTTGATGATAAAGTCAAGCGTGCATTTTTAGCGGTTACCAGCGCTGTAAGCTTCAACCAATTAATTTATTAAAAATGTTGCATAAGAAAATCATTTCTCTTTAAGCAGATCAAAATGATAATTTGCTTTGTAATATATGCAATAATATATAATAATGTAATGAAACTGTAATAATTATGTGTTGCAGTTATAATATATTTTATTATCAATAATTAAATTTAATTTGATCATATATAAAAATTTTGATAAAAGTGTGCGTTTGTACTATAATTAGAAATGATGTTAATATGATGATGTAAATAAAAATATGAATATGTCTGGAATATAACAAAGCTTGTCAGAATACTAAAACAAAAAGTTGTCTGAAATAGAATTTTCACAAATCAAATTTTGATTTTTGATATGGCCATAAGCCGATAGCAAGCAGAAGGATCCGATTGAGATTAAAATGTTGAATCTTAATGCAGATCAGTACTGTGCGAGCATAGAAACTGGATTGCGAAGAAATTAATAGATTTACCTTTATCCCTTCATTTTTGTTTTTCAAATTAAAGATTCTTGAACTTTTACGTATCTTTAGAATAAATTTTGTCATAAATTATGTAATTCATGATAAATACCAAATTGTACAAAATATTGTGGAAACGAAGCTCTTGTAATTTAACAATTTTGTGAGAAAAGGCGATCAATATCACATGGATGGAAATTTAAGAAATGAATATTTCACACAGAGCAACACATTCGTCAGGTAACTTATCGATCGAAGTCGGCGCAAGCGCAAACGCTCTCTTTTTAAGTTACGCACTTTCATGTGCTTCATTCTTGTGCGTACGCTCGTGGAAGTAGTTTGTCCTTCTATAGGAACACAAAGTCGATCCGCCTGATGTGTGTTGGCAAAGCTATAAAACTGTCACCGGCCAAAATATAAGGTACCGTGAATTTCGATTCAGAGTTTTCTATACTTGTAACAAGCAAAACTCAATAATTGTTTCTCTTAATTGAAACACATGCATGTTTTTATATTATTTTATATTATATTTACATTTTTATATATTTGATCTTTTATGATATGTCACCTATTGATAGTGATGAAACAAAAATTGATATCATATCGTACTCGTTTAAAAATATACGTCAATTCTATATACATTTGTAACATTAACTTTAGAGTAATAGGTGTCATTTGTTTTGTGTCATACTTTTCAACACTTTTTCATACACGTTCCACACATATATTTCATAATAGAAAAATTAAATGGATATGCATTATCGAAAAAAAAAAAATAATTGTGAATTTGTGATTTCTTAATTATCTAAACAGTGCAACAGTCAGGAAACAAAAAGCTGTTATCTGGGTGTATTATTTAATTTGTGCAATTTTTATTGAAATAACATTTTATAGTTTCAAATGCGGAAAATATGCGTAATATTTGATGGTTAATTTCCATTAGATAATGTATCTTCACATCATTGCTGCATAGTATATATAACGGTGAAGTAAGACATCGATGCTTTCGTTAACTGTAATAATGAAGCGCATACGTTTCTTACATTGCACTATGAAACATGCTAAATAAGCTATAAATGTTGCAATTTATGGCAAACTACTATTTTTACCATGGCAAAACACTCTAATGATATTGCAAATAGTCCGGCGATATTTAGGCTGAAAGTTTTACTGCCCCTTTGCAAAATCAACAGTATCATCTTTTGTACGTGTAATGGTGCATTATACCATCGAACATTGTATCTATGAAATAATGTGATAAATAATGATAAACTACTAATGAAGAAGAAATGTACCTATATACTGATATATATATGCAATTGCCCAGAACATATCAAATTGTTTCTTACGCAATGAAGTATATATGAGCACTGTAATTTAAAATTTCTTGTCCGGCATAATTAGCTGCTAACATATATAAAAATATGACAAGTACATATAAAAAGTGTAATACAAATGCTTCCTTATTTCCAAGTGATGCATTGCGAAAGATCTAAAATTATGATTATGATTATCATATAATATTTCCTAAATTCAATAATTACTGATTATAGTCATAATTATATATGCTGTGAAAAAGTTATAGACAAAAAGTATAAAAAACTTTATATAGATTTTTTGTTTTAAAAATTTTATGGTTTTATAATTAGCATGATTTGGTATGCATATTATCAATTAAATTTATATATGATTCTTTTATAATATTTTTATCTTGTTAAATTGATTAAACTTTGATTATTACTAGATATACGCATATCCCTTTTAGAAATATGTGTTTAGAACACGAAAAAAGTACTTACTGCAAAAATATTCAGGCTCAAACAAATCACACCAAACATTATTAATAACAGAAACGAGCCTTCAAAATTAGATACCAATGCGTTGATGAACCTTTACGAAAAACAAGATTATTACAAGTGTTATATATATAATTGTTATTATATTGCATGTCTCGTTCTCGATGATAGTATTGTAGTCATGCTTGTCATGCTCAACATCACAAAGTTTAGCTCCTAGTAAATTTGGGTAGATAGTTGGAGAGAAATCACGTCAGATAAATATGTGTTAAGCTATTTAGAAGGATATCGAACCCTTTTTATCGAAAAACCATTTCAAAAAATTTTACCGAAAGAGAAAGTACTTTCTATGGAAGAAATAAGGCAAATTCAAGTAGAAATTGACAAATTATTACGGAAAGGTGCTATTGAGCATCACTCCACAACTCAATAAAAATATCTCCAGGAGATTTCATGTGCTCCTTGGACTTAAAAGATGCCTACTTTGTAGTACCTATTTATAAAAAACATAAAAAGTTTCTTAGGTTTGAATTTAAGGGAAAACTTTTTCAATTTTCGTGCCTTCCGTTTGGATTATGTACCAGTCCATATATTTTTACTAAAATAATGAAACCCATAGTTAATAAACTGAGATTAGAAGGAATGTTACTAGTATTACATTTGGACGATTTTCTTTTATTCATAATTCAAAAAAGCTATGTGAAATAAACATCAAAGAAACTATTAATTTTCTGCATGGTTTAGGATTCATAATAAATTATGAAAAAAGTTTATTAGTTGCTAGCCAGAAATGTAAATATCTGGGTTTCATCTTCAATTCAGTGGATTTCACCTTAAATTTAACTGATAAAAAGAAAAATCAGATAATAGAATTTGCAAATGAATTTAAGAAAGGAAATAGCTATAGAATTAGAAAATTTGCAAAATTTCTAGGAATTTTAACGGCAGCTAGTTCAGCAGTGGCTTACGGCTTTATACATTGCAAAAGACTTGAGAGACAATAATTTTTAGCTTTAAAATTCAATGGTGGTAATTATGAAGGAAAGATCTATATAAAAGAATGTATGATAGAGGATCTTAACTGGTGGAAAACAAATGCAACAATTGGATCAAATCCAATAAGAAACCAAAAATTCTCTATGGAAATATATTCTGATTCTTCATTATCAGGTTGGGGCTGTTACTGTAATGATATAAGTACATTTGGTTTTTGGAATGAGGAAGAAAAGAAAAGACATATAAATTATCTTGAGTTACTTGCTGCCTTTTTCGCATTGAAATGCTTTGCCTCAAATCTATCCCAGAGCGAAGTACTTCTTCGTCTGGACAATACTACAGCTATATCATACGTGAATAGGGCAGAAGGTGTTCAATTTCCACATCTTAGTGAACTTGCCCGGGAAATTTGGAAATGATGCGAAGAGAGGAAAATTTGGCTGAGAGCATCATACATTAGTTCAGCAGAGAATGTACAAGCAGACAGAGCATCACGCAATAACGTGGATACTGAATGGGAACTTTCCCCATTAATTTTCGAACAGTTTGAAAAGAGATTTGAGTTTTTTTCAATAGAACCAATTGCAACTAGATTAAATAGAAAGTGTAATAAATTTTACTCTCGTTTCCCTGACCCCGAAGCAGAGTCAGTGGATGCTTTCACTAGATCTTGGAAGAATAAATTCTTCTATGCTTTTCCTCCTTTCGCACTTATCCTTCGTACTTTAAGAAAAATCATTAATGACAAAGCGGTAGGGGTACTTATAGTACCTTTATGGCCTACCCAGCCCTGGTACCCTCTTTTTACATCGCTTCTTACTGAACCTATTATCACATTCAATCCAAGTAATTCCTTATTAATATCTCCTTATAGAGACAAGATCCATCTATTAGCCCTTTACTTTTCATTACATAAAAGAAATTATTACGAATTATCACAATCTCTAAAACACTACAATACTATCATCGAGAACGAGACGTACAATATAATTGCAAGATCAAACGAGCCCACCGAGGGCGAGCGAAGTTTGATCGAAATTATATGAAAAGTCTCGTTCGAAGATGATAGTCTCCCAACCCTTAAAATACCCAAAATAAATATATACTACCCCTATTATCTTCAAAATTATATTGTAATAATTCTAAGTTCGTTACAAAAAACAATATGAAAACGGAGAGGACTCATCCTAGAGATAACATGGCGGGGACGCCATTTTCAAATTTACTAGGAGCTAAACGTTGTGATGTTGAGCATGACAAGCATGACTACAATACTATCATCTTCGAACGAGACTTTTCATATAATTTCGATCAAACTTTGCCCGCCCTCGGTGGGCTCGTTTGATCTTGCAATTATACGCATACCAACTTTATAACCTTGCAATGTATTTCGACGGCATAAAATATTTTTTTGTTATAAATCATAGCCCGATTCTTCAAGTTAATGTTTTTAATCATTTCGGTTGTCATTATTTGCTCCATACGATAACTATGATTAATTTATTTGCTGTAAATATGTAGTTCTCCCAAAATTGTATTAACAAATTAAAACAAACAAACAAATAAAGATTTTGTTTGTAGTCATACATATCGTGTCCATTTCTAAATTCATTATTTACCTTGCAATTTTAAACATTCCACATGCGTGTATGGCGCATCCTAAGAGCATTGTTCCTATCCGATTCTTCAAGTTAATGTTTTTAATCATTTCGGTTGTCATTATTTGCTCCATACGATAACTATGATTAATTTATTTGCTGTAAATATGTAGTTCTCCCAAAATTGTATTAACAAATTAAAACAAACAAACAAATAAAGATTTTGATTGTAGTCATACATATCGTGTCCATTTCTAACTTCATTATTCACCTTGCAATTTTAAATATTCCACATGCGTGTATGGCACATCCTAAGCCTGTTGATCCTATCGCTGTTGATGTAGTCACTCCAATACAAAAAACTACGTCTTTATGCAGTAAAATTAAATAGTAATATTTTTCTTGATCGACAAAATATTCTGTCACGATTTGTATTGTCTGACTCTGTAGTTGAGACTCGTTTATGTACAAGACAGTACCAAGGATCTGTGGCCAAATAGGCAGTAAAGTAGCAATAAATACACAGCATATGGCGAACGCTAAGAACATTTAAAGGAAATTGTTTTACAAGTTGCTCTTTTTATGTTTTATAATGTATTACTTATACATAATTCTCTTTTTCATTCAAATTTTGCTATTCTTAAATCACTCTTCTGCTCTGATTTTTTTCTTGACTTTAAAGTTTTTCTTTTCACATGATAATAAAAATTAAGAGTAACATATTATACATATATAAGTTTTATAATTTTTTATTCTGGTGGAAAAATGTGATAATTTAGTTTAAGCTGAGATTCACAAATTAGTTAATCAGTCTAATTTAAATATTTAATTTGTCTCACAATTTGAATATGCTCAACTTAATGACATGTAGATAATCGATAAGAAATACTGTCTTACATGTAAATATAACTGTACAACGTCTTATGTTATTTTCATACTTTTTAAAGATAGCAAGTTCGTTTTCATCTTTTAGGTTATTACAGATGCAGTGTAATTGCTCCAACAAATTTCTCACCTACCATCACAGCAATATTTAATGTTGTTTTGAAAAAGTTGCAAAAGGTTGTGATATATAAAAATTTATTTGTTTTTGGAACATTGATTCATACAAGTTAGTAAACAATTAACTTACATGATGAGTGTTAATCCAGAACATGCTGTATATAATTACGTGGAAATTATAGACTATTGCGGTAGAGAAAACTTTGAGGATAAAATCAACAGTGCATTTTGTAGTTATATGCTTTGTATTTTTTAACTAAAAAATTTTTTTTTTAAAGATATTGTTTGTAGTCATACATATCATGTCCATTTCTAACTTCATTATTCACCTTGCAAGTTTAAATATTCCACATGCGTGTATGGCGCATCCTAAGAGCATTGTTCCTATCGCTGTCAATGTAGTCGCTCCAATACAAAAAACTGCGTCTGTATGCAGTAAAATTAAATAGTAATATTTTTCTTGATCGACAAAATATTCTGTCACGATTTGTATTGTGTGACTCTGTAGTTGAGACTCGTTTATGTACAAGATAGTACCAAGGATCTGTGGCCAAATAGGCAGTAAAGTAAAAATAAATACACAGCATATGGCGAACGCTAAGAACATTTAAAGAAAATTGTTATACAAGTTGCTCTTTTTATGTTTTATAATGTATTACTTATACATAATCCTCTTTCTCATTCAAATTTTGCTATTCTTAAATCACTCTTCTGCTCTGACTTTTTTCTTGATTTTAAAGTTTTGTTTTTTTTTCTCCATATGATAATAAAAATTAAGAATAACATATTATATGTACATATATTAAAAATATACATACATATGTATGTAGACATGCTTTTCGCCATGCAAAAGTTTTATAATTTTTTATTCTGGTGGAAAAATGTGATAATTATGTTTAAGCTGAGATTCACAAATTAGTTAATCAGTCTAATTTAAATATTTAATTTGTCTCACGATTTGAATATGCTCAACTTAATGACATGTAGATAATCGATAAGAAATACTGTCTTACATGTAAATATAACTGTACAACGTCTTATGTTATTTTCATACTTTTTAAAGATAGCAAGTTCGTTTTCATCTTTTAGGTTATTACAGATGCAGTGTAATTGCTCCAACAAATTTCTCACCTACCATCACAGCAATATTTAACGTTGTTTTGAAAAAGTTGCAAAAGGTTGTGATATATAAAAATTTATTTGTTTTTGGAATATTGATTTATACAAGTTAGTAAACAATTAACTTACATGATGAGTGTTAATCCAGAACATGCTGTATATAATTACGTAGAAATTAAAGACTAATGCGGTAGAGAAAACTTTGATGATAAAATCAACAGTGCATTTTGTAGTTATAAGCGCTGTAAGCTTCAACCAATCAATTTATTGAAAATGTTGCATAACAAAATCATTTTTCTTTACATAGATCAAAATGATAATTTGCTTTGTATAATATGCAATAATATATAATAACGTAATAATAAAAGGTAATAATAATAAAACTTTAACAATTATGTGTTGCAGTTGAAATATATTCTATTATCAATAATTAAATATAATTTGATCATGTTTTGTAATTGCATAAAAATGAGCGTTTTCTATGATAGGCAGTCAAATATAAACCGAACTTTTTCCAATACTTTTTATTTGATCAAAATAATTCCAATGCACGAGTCATTTTTCTACATAGTTTCTACTAACATCTAAGCACTTTTGCCACCGGATTGTTCTTTTATTCCCGTGTCATAAAAAGCAGTGGGACATATCTGAAGCCAATTGCGTACAAACAAAAACGTTGCTTCTGCACGACAACGCTAGGCCTCATATCGCCGCCATAATCCAAAAGAAATTGGTTCAATTGCACTGGACCACTATTGAACATCCCCCTTACAGCCCCGATTTATTCTCTTGTGATAATCATTTGTTTGGGCCACTGAAAAAGGCGTTTGAAGGACAACGATTTAACAATAATGTTAAGGTGGATAAATTCGTGCGCAATTCGTTGGCTTTGAATATATCCCCCTACTTTTTATGACACGGGAATAAGAAAACTGCCAATTCGGTAGCAAAAATGTTTAGATGTAAGCGAAAATTCTATAGAAAAATTACTTGGGTATGCGTTGGAAATATTTTAATTGAATAAAAAGTTATGGAAAAAATTCGGTTTATATTAAACTGCCCTTCATATAATTAGTGATAATTTTTGTAATGCATATTCTACAATAATATGAATAAAAATATGGACATACCTGGAATACAACAAAGCTTGTCAAAATACCAAAACATAAAGTTGCTTGAAGTTGACTAAATTTTGATCTTTGATACGGCCATAAGCCGATTGCAAGTAGCAGGAACCGATTAAGATTAAAATGTTGCGTCTCAACGCAGATCATTACTGTGCGAGCATAGGAACTGAACTGCGGAGAAATTAATAAAGATTCGCCTCTATCCCCTCCTTTTTCTTCTTCAAATAAAGTATTCTTGAACTCTTACCGTATTTTTAGAATAAATTTTGTCATAAATTATCTAATTCATGATAAATATCAAACTGCACAAAATAATGTGGAAACAAAACTTTTTCAATTTAACAATTTTGTGAAGTGGTGATTAAGCGATCAATTTTACATAGAAGGAAATTTAAGAAATGAGTATTTCACACAGAGAAACATACATTCATCAGGTACCTTATCGATCGGCGCAAGCGCGATCGCTCTTTTTTCAAGGAACAGGGTTTTATGTGCTTCATTCTTGTGCGTGCGCTCGTGGAAGGAGTTTGTCTTTCTAAAGTCTAAAGGAACAGAGTCGATCCGCTTTACATGTGCTGGCAAATTAGCTATAAAACTATTGCCATCAATATATAAGGTACAAACTGTGATTCAGTGTTTTCTACATTTTATAATAAGCGAAACTGTATAATTGTTGCTTTTAATTAAAACACACATACATGTGTTTTATTATTTCATATTCTATCTACATTTAATGCAAATTAGATCTCTTGTATTATATCGCTTACTTCTTTATATGAAATAGAAATTGATATTATGCTCGTTTGAAAATATACATGCTAATTCTGTATACATTTGTAAAAAAAATGCAAAATATTATATAATATATCATTCATCAACTATCTTAATTATCCCGAAATCAGACCACGCGATGTAGGAATCGGGTCGAACAAACTCGCAGATCCGAAAATCAGGTAAACCATTTGGGTCGCTATTACGCTGTTTATTCGGAAGTACGCTCGGTGGTCTCTTTTCGGTCAAAAAATTTAATCTTTTTCAACGCCGGATGGGACCAAGTGCGATCTTCGTACTGGGAACGATAGAGGAATTAAGAAATGTCTGATTAATTAAATAAAAATATAATTTTATTCATTAGTAAAATAAATGAAGCCTTGAATACATGTTTTTATATATACAAGAAGAAAATATCCAGGTAGCAAGGTGTCGTCATATTCTATAATAATTCTATGTTTATTATTCTATTTGATAAAGAGGTAAAAATCATATGGATTTGTACAATTGAAAGAACGCAAAATTTCGAGATGTAGCCAAAGTTCACCAATTTTATACGTTATCTTATATTAGAGAAATTTCGTCATTTTATCGTCATAGATATGACGTCAACGGTCTGTGACTTAGGACCGTCATTCTAACGTCACTTTTACGTCGTTTCAAAAGTGAATTTGACGTAACCAGTGACTAAAAAATGACGTTATAATAACGACACCTTGCTACCTGGGATATTAATAGTGTGAGTGTGTGTGTTTGTGTGTGGTTGAGTTTATCTTTCCACGAGTGTTACATAAGTTCGGGGAACATCAGTGAGAGTGATTAAGGAAAGGCTCTATTGTTAAGATTAGATTTCTGGCTGGTTAATATAATATGTGATTATCTTTCAGTAAATAAAAATATCAAAAATGTGAAGTGTAAAAGCGTGTGGAAAAAGGGGTCATCGGATGAGGAAATTCGTAAAGAGATTGTTCCGATCGCGCTGTTATTCATGATCGGACAATTTTTCTTCAAGGAAGTTCGTGTATGAAATCTTGGATCGCTTTCTCGAAATTATCCGATTCGGAAGGCTGAAGGGAGGAAAGAGGGGGTGAAGGATGATTGCCGAGGACTATTGTGTATAGGGAAGAAAATGATCTCGGGGAAAATTGATGCAATTCAGGAGGAAGAGAAGAACGTTCAGGAGAATAATTAGGAGAAAAATGGAGAGGGGAAAGTAGGACAGTAGACTCGGATTCGTGCGTATGTGTTTGTAGTGACTTATCGTCTATTTAATATCGCTTGTTATCTATTATGATATCGGAATCCGTGGCAGCCCGAGCCAACACCTTCCGAATCCTGCGATTAACACGTTTTTTGATACATTTTGCTCGCAGATTTAAACGCTTAGCCGAGATGGTTTCTACTAAGGAACCAATGCAATGTCAATAAAGTTATAATCTAATTCGGTCGTGAATTTTATGTATATAATAAAAATTAAATTGTCATGACTTACTTTTAACTGCTATTTCGGAAGTGAGGGGCTGGCGAGTTTTTCATGGTCTGAGTCGCTCTGTGTCTCGTTGTGTGATGTCGTATTTGGTTCGCAGCTCTGGATGACGAGTGAAAACACTGGTAAAAACTCGGTCACGCACTACGATGTGAATACAAGTAAACTGCAAAAAAATGATAATCCGAGTCCTGCAAGTTTCCGTTCACTCTAATTTTTTTAGAGATAGGGATCCTCCAAGACAGAAGTTGGGATTCTCCAAAATTTTAACGAATTAAATGTTGTATCAGAGTGTCAATCAGAGAATCAATCCTCATTCGGTAGGGTTTTCCTACTTTTCACGTTTTTACTCGCGATGGTGAGTCTGATATTGGTTAATCCGTTGAATATTTTCCGTCGAACTTTCGCGCACATGATTCTGAGATGAATAGTAAAAGTTTTATTTTTCTATGATTTTTATCAACATTGATGCAGTAATTTTTATTAGATCTTTCATAAGATAATTTCATCATCTTTTCGCTGTTTCTCCGTTCTTTCGCTTTGGAAAATTTTACCATAGGAAATATCTACTGATACCTTAATTTTTGTAATTAACTTTTTTTGCTTAGAAAAGACCAGCGTAATTTCTTTTGTTTTTCTCGCGGTTACTCATAGATATTTTTACTGATAAATGATGAAATGTTTAAAGAGTTATATGATGCAAGATGTTCTATTTACCGAATGACTTATTTTTATTGCCAATCGACAATCGTAATTAACTTTTTTTGCTTAGAAAAGACCGGCGTAATTTCTTTTGTTTTTCTCGCGGTTACTCATAGATATTTTTACTGATAAATGATGAAATGAATGTTTAAAAAGTTATATGATGCAAGATGTTCTATTTACCGAATGACTTATTTTTATTGCCAATCGACAATCACTGCCGCAATGTCGCGGAAGAAAAAAATCGTGGAATCGGCAGAACATAACAGTACATATTTCATAATACAAAATAGATATCCACTACCGGAAAAAAATATTGGTGAATTTGCTATTTCTTAATTATCTAAACAGTGCAATAGTCAGAAAACAAAACGCTCTCTCTTATCGGAGGGTATAATTTAATTTATGCGGAATTTATTAAAGTGACGCACACACACACATTTTAATATTTCACATTTTATTATTTTAAAAAATATTTTCTGGCCGATTTTTCAGATAATATGTCTTCGTATCATTGTTGCATAGAATATAAAACGGTGAAATAAGACATCGATGCTTTTGTTAGCTGTAATAATGAAATACACCTCTTACAATTTGCAACATGAAACATATTAAAAGTGCTGTAAATATTTCAATTTATGACAGGTAGTAATTCTTACCATGGCGAAACTTTCTAGTGATGGTACAAACAGTCCGGCAACATTTAAATTGGAAGCTTGATTGCCTCTTCGCAAAATAAAAAGTATCATTTTCTGTGCATGTAATGGTGCCATATACCATTGAATATTGTACCTTTGATAAATATGATAAATGTACATATACATATATTAAGGGGGCATACCCGTTTAAACCTTCTAAAAATAAGTACATTTTCTAGATTTTTTCGCAGCGCAACGACTTGATAAAAATTTTTAATTTTTTTATTATATTAATACGATATTATTAACTACTTAAACGAAAATGTTCAGCTTAAAAGAATTTTTTTTTCGAAGTTATACGAATATTTTTAAACTTATGTTCTCATGCATTGTATGCATGAAAACTCGAGCTAAGTTCGACGGATTGACTTCAAATTTTGCATGCGAGTTCCTAATAAGATTCCGCATCTGCTAACGAAACCTTTCTTGAATCCAATTACCCATTTTTTTGTTATAAACAAAGACAGATGGACATTTAAGAAAAAAACGGAGTTTTTTATCAACACGCCGCCATTTTTTTATTTTTGAAAATTTTGAATAATGCTTGGATAGCAGATAGCTATTAATATGTTTAATAAAAAAAGCTTATATTTTTTATTTCAGATATGATCTATGAACGTTTTCATGCACACCGTGCAGCCACCTAAAATTTGGAGGAACTCTGCAAATATTCTTATAACTTTACAAAAAATTTTTTTTCTAAGGTGGAAATTTTTATTTAAGTAGTTAATAATATTGTATTAATACCGTAAAAAAATTAAAAATTTTTATCAAGTCGTTGCTCTGCAAAAAAAATTTAGAAAATGTATTCATATTTCGAGGTTTCAATTAGATATGCCTCCTTAATGTATATAGGGGAAAGTTGGGTAAAACCGGATTGGCGGGTCAAACCGGGTACCCCTGTTTTTTCATAATAAATGCTGCTATCTATGGCTAACTTGTGTTATTAGTTGTAGATTGGCGCCATCATTATTTTAAAACAAACCGTGCCCCTGTGCACACAATATTTCTTTTTTAATATAAGTTCAAAGTTTTTAGCCCAAAAAGATCGATATCGAGGCAAGAATCGAGTCGTTGTGCATTTTTTCTATATAGAGCATCTGTTCCCAGGTAGCAAGGTGTCGGCATTATAACGTCATTTTTTAGTCACTGGTTACGTCAAATTCACTTTTTAAACGACGTACATTGCATTCTGTACATATTAGAGAGTATATCATATTAGTTTTGATACTTTGTATGCCGGAATATACAAAACCGGGTATTTATACATCTCGTATAATGAAAAGAAGAAGAACTGTTATTTTGACTTTGTGTCTTTACAGAAAGCAGTTGAAAACGAAAATTAACGCTCAGAAAAAGAAACCACTAAAAAAAAAAGCTTTTTAAGACCCCTAAAGTTAAAAAGTTAAAAAAGGAAGTCCTGCAGCAATGTCGAGCAAGAGGATATCCTTATTTGTGATTGTTGTCAATAGAATACATCTTTATGTTGTATCTTGATTAAAATAAATCTAGATTTTGTAATTACACAATGTTTTGCATATTTTCAAATGAGTACCTGGTTTGACCCTACCAGTAGAACAAAACCGGGTACTTTGACTTCTCCACAAAATCTTGTTATTCTTGGTAATAAAAAATTTTTTTTTCAGCGACTGGCCTTATTTTCTCATAGTTTAAGATTCACTAAAGACTACAAACGGTCGGCAAAATTTTTTTTACTTTCAGATTTTTTGTAGGAGGACAAACCCTAAAAAATACCCGGTTTTACCCTACTTTCCCCTACAATTGCAAATACACATAAAATTGTTTCTTACGCTGTGAAGTATACGTGATTGTTGTGATTTGTAATTTCTTGCCCGGCATAGTTAGCTATAAACGAATATAAAAGCATGACAGATATAACTATAAAGTGTAATAAAATAGCTTCCTCATTTCCAAGCAATGCATTCCGATAAACCTAAAATATCTTAATTGTGATTAACATATTTCAATTGTCCAACACAATTTCATATGCTCATTTACTTATTACAAGATAAGTATATATAAACTCCAAAAAAATATAGGCAAGAAGTACAAGAAAAAAAACCAATTTTTATATTGAGATTTTCCTGTTTTTAAATATTTTATGATTTTATAATTAACACGATTTGGTATGCATATTATTAATTAAGATTATACATTATATAATTAATAATATATTATACTATTTTTTATATTTTTTATCAATAAATTGGTTAAATTTTGGTTATTATTAGATGCATAATAATCCATGCATCTCTCTTAGAAATATGTTTTTAGAACACGAAAGAAATACTTACTGCATAAATATTCAGGCTCAAACAAATCACACTAACTGTTATTAATAGTAAAAACGATCCTTCAAAACTAGATATCAATATGTCGGTAAACCTTTAAAAAAAACAAGATGTTATTACAAGTGTTACATTATTGTTATCACACGCATACCAACTTCAAAGCCTTGCGATGGATTTTGACGGCGTAAAATATTTTATTACATATCATAATCCTATTCTTCAAGTTAGTATTTTGGAGCATTTTGATTGTCATTATTTGTTCCATACGATAACTATGATTAATTTGTCTGCTGTAAATATGTTCTCCCAAAATTGTATTGACAAATAAAAACAAAAAGTAATTGAAGATTTTATTAACAGTTATACATTTTATGTCCATTTATTTCTTTACCTTGCAACTCTAAACAATCCACAGGCGTGTATGGCGCATCCTAAGAGCATTGTTCCCGTCGCTGTCAACGTAGTCGCCCCAATACAAATAACCGTGTTTGTATGCAGTAAAATTAAATAGAAATATTTTTCTTGATCGACGAAGTATTCAGTTGTGATTTGTATTGCCTGACTCTGTATTCGAGACTCGTTTATGTGCAAGACAGTACTAAAGATCTGTGGCCAAATTGGCAGTAAAATAAGAGAAAATGTACTGCATATGGCGAACACTACAAACATTTAAATGAAATAATTGTAAACATTGCTTTTTTTATTATATGATATATGTTATTTATGCATAATTCTCTCTCTCTCTCTTTCTCAAATTTTGCTATTCTTCGATCACATCTTTCCACCCTGATATTTTTGCAGAATGTTAACTGTAATATTGTATATTTGCAATATGCTATTAATAAATAATAAACATGTTGTATATATATATATATATATATATATATATATTGTAAAAATTATGCACAGGCACGTCAACATGCTTTTTACCATGCAAGTTTTTATAAATTTACTATTATAATTTTGGTGGAAACGTATAATATTTAAGCTAGGAGTCAAAATATAGTTGATCAGACTAATCTATATATTTAACTTTTTTCACGGTTAGTATCTGATAAATTTTATGATATATAGTATAGTTGGCAAGAAATACTATCTTACATGAACTTATGGCTGTACAAAGTTTTGCGTTATTTCCATACTTTTTAATGATTGCAAATTCGTTTTTGTCTTTTAATTCGTTACAGATAAACTGTAGTTGCTCCAACAAATTTCTCACCTACCATTACAACAATATTTAACAATGTTTTGAAAAAATTGGAAAAGGTTGTGATATATAAAAATTTATTTGGAATATTGATTTTTGGAATATTGATTTATACAAATTGGTAAACAATTAACTTACATGATGAGTGTTAATCCAGAACATATTGTACTTAATTATATAAAAACAAAAGAATGTTGCGGAAGAAAAAATTTTGATGATAAGATCAGCAGTACATTTTCTTGTTATCAACGCTGTGAACTTCAATGATCCAATTTATTGAAAATATTGCATAAGGAAATCATTATTTTTTATGCAGATCAAAATAATAATTTTCTTTGTAATGTATGTAATAATATATAGTAATATAATGAAACTTTAATAATTATCTATTCCATTTGCAATATATTCTATTATTAATAATTAAATATAAATTGATTATATTTGAAAATTTTGATAAAAGTGAGCGTTTGTTATAATTAGTAATAATGTTTGTAATGCATATTCTATAATAATATGAATAAAAGCATGGACATACCTGGAATATAACATAGCTTGTCAGAATACCAAAACACAAAGTTGTCTGAAGTCGACCAAATTTTGATTTCTGATGTGGCCATAAACCGATTGCGAGTAGGAGAGTCCGATTGAAATTAAAATGTTGAGTCTCAATGGAGATCATTACTGTGCGAGCATAGAAACTGGACTGCGGAGAAATTAATAGAAATTCGCCTCTATCCCCTTTTTTTTCTTCCTCAAATAGTGTTCTTGAACTCTTACCGTATCTTTCGAATAAATTCTGTCATAAATTATTTAATTCATGATAGATATCAAATTGCACAAAATATTGTGGAAACAAAGCACTTTTAATTTAACCATTTTGTGAGATGAGACGATTAGGCGATTAATTTCACATGGATGGAAATTTAAGAAATGAGTATTTCACATAGACAAACACATTCATTACGTACCCTATCGATCGATGTCGGCGCAAGCGCAATCGCTCTTTGTTCGAGTAACGCAGTTTCATGTGCTTCATTCTTGTGCGTGCGCTCGTGGAAGGAGTTCGTCTTTCTAAAGGAACAGAGTCGATTCGCTTTAAGTATGCTGATAAATTAGCTATTTCGCCGTCAATATATAAGGTACCGAACTGTAATTCATTCTACCTTTTGAAATAAGCGAAACTGAATAATTGTTGCTTTTAATTAAAACACACATGTATTCTTTTATATTACTTTATATCTACATTTATTGCATATTAGATCTCTTGTAATACATGTGTATCACTTACCGCTTCATATATAAAGCAGAAATTGATATTATTATACTCGTTTGAAAATATACATGTTAATTCTGTATACATTTGTAAAAAATTAAATTTTGAAATATTTTATAATATATTATTCATTTTGCTTCATACTTTCTTAGAACACGTCCTACTTGACGTATTTATTTTATAATGTAAGATAGGTATCCAATACAGGAAAATAAATAATCGAGAATTTGCGATTTCTTAATTATCTAAACAATGCAATAGTCAGAAATCAAAACGTTGTTATCGGGATGTATAATTTAATTCATTTGGAATTTATTAAAGTGACACACACACACATTTTGATGTTTCACATTTTACTATTTACTAGACGTAAAAAATATTTTCTGGCCAATTTTTATCAGATAATAAGTCTTCGCTCATTGCTGCATAGAATATAAAACGGTGAAATAAGACATCGATGCTTTTGTTAGCTGTAATAATGAAATTCGTCTCTTATGTTGCAATATGAAACATGCTAAATGTGCTGTAAATATTTCAATTTATGACATGTAGTAATTTTTACCGTGGCAAAACATTCTAATGATGGTACAAATAGTCCCGCAATATTTATATCGGAAACTTGACTGCCTCTTTGCAAAATAAAAAGTATCATTTTCTGTGCGTATAATGGTGCCATATACCATCGGATATTGTACCTTTGAAAAATATGATAAATGTACATATATATTGAAATATATATAGTTGCAAACACATAAAAAGAACACATAAAATTGTTTCTTACGTGGTGGAGTATATGTGATTACTGTGATTGCAAAGCTCTTCTCCGATATAATTACTTATAAACGAATATAGAAGAATGGTAAATATACCTACAAGGTGTAATAAAATAGCTTCCGTATTTCCAAGCAATGCATTCCGGTAAATCTAAAATATTATATCATAATTTTGATTAATATATTTTATATGTTCAACATATTTTCATATAATCACTTATTTATTATAAGGATAAATGTGTAGAATAATTATACAGAGTGATCCAAAAATATTTGTACATATATGTCCGGTAATGTCTTTACAAGTAATAATCAAAAGATCACATTTAACGACAAAAACCGACAGAATATATCTACAATGACATATGACCAATATAATACATCTTCAGTTCGATTGTTTATCTATTTACAATTCACAATAAACGTTCAAAATGTCCTCCATCTGCTTCAATGCATGTATGTACATGTCGGATCATAGGCTGTCTTTCGAAGCACCCTTTCGGACGCACCCTTTCGAAGATCCTATAACGATTGTGAATGATTCCGCAGGCATCTACGATGCGTTGGTAAAGCATTTCTTAATTTGCAATTTCAGTTGCATAAACTAGGGCTTTTAAGTATCCCCACAGATAAAGATCTGTTGTTATTATTTAGTTTCAGTATTAAACCAGGTGGTGATTTTTTTTATCGTGGTTGCTCTGGAGATGATGCCAAGTGAGGACACTGGTGGCACAAGTGCCTAACTCGCGAATTACGGTGCAAAAGCACAGAGTAAGACTGCGTGAAGCTGAAGACTGAAGAATAAGTACGTAAGTGAGTTCGAGTCCTCTTTTTATATCTCTCTTTTCGGGGTGTATTCTAATTTCTAAGAGTGGGAATCTTTAACGAATTAAAAGTTGTGCCAGTGTCCTCATTTTTGGTTTTCACTCATGACGATCGTCGATTGGTGATCAGTTCAGAATTCCTTGAGCTCTAGGTTTCCCTTACGCCCGTGATTTGATTAGACAAAGTCCAATGTGACGTCACAGAAGTTTCGTCATTATTGATTTAGTTGTATTCATCAGATAAAAAAAAAAATATTGATTCAAATCATTCTTTTTTCAACACTCCCACTTTTGAATCAACAGAAGTCTTTTTCTTTTATTTCTTATTTATTACTAGCTTATTTCTTAATTATTCAAATCTAGCCTTTGCTAGTGGTTTTGTTAAAATATCGGCCTTTTATTTATCAGTTATGACATATTTAATATTAAATTCTTTTATTTCGTACAACTCTCTTATAAAATGATACTTAATATCTATATGTTTTGTCCTTTTATGATATTCTGGATTTTTAATCATTTCGTGAATTCATCATTCAAAATCATTTATTTCATAAAACTAATTTTATAGCACTTTGATTATCTATTAACATTACAGGTTTATTTGTATCTATTTCTAACAAATCCTTGACTAATCTTTTTATCCAAATTAGTTCTTTAGCTGTCTGACTTGCTGCGACATATTCAGATTGTGGTCGACAAAGCAACTGATCTCTATTTTTGAGTACCCCATGCTATAGGTGTTTTTCCAAGTAAAATTACATAATCAGTTGTTGATCTCCTAGTTGCTTTGTCTCCCGCAAAATCTGCATCACTATAAGCTCTTATTTCTAAGTTTTGATTTTTTTCAAATTTGATACCATAGTCAACAGTTTCCTCTATATATTTTATAATTCTTTTTACCGCATTCCAATGTTCCTTCGTAGGTTTTTCAGCATACTGGCTAACTGTATTTACCGCATATGCAATGTCTGGTCTGAAAACCATCGCCAAATAGAGTAGACTACCAACTGCTTCCTTGTATGGCGCATTTATTATCTTAGCTTGATTGTCTGGGGTCTCAAGGCTAAAATCTTGATGTTGGTCTACAGGTATAGCTATCGGATGTGCCTCGTCCATCTTAAAACGATTTTTCACTCGCTTGGCATATTGACTTTGGTTTATCTGTACGGAATTATCTGAAAAATATTTAAATTCTATTCGTAAAAATAATTCTAATGGTTTAGATGTTACTTCCAGCTCATTAGACAAATGAAGCAACAAATTCTTTATTTTCAAGTTATTTGTGGATGCTACTAAACCGTCATCTACATATACTGCCAAGATTAAGGTTTGTCCATTATCCTTGTTGACAAACACGCATGAGCCTGCATCGGTTGCTCGCAAGTTGAATTTCGTCAAGCAATTTACAAATTTCTTGTTCCAGGATCTTGCTGACTGTTTAAGTCCATACAATATTCGTTTAAGTTTGCATACTTTCTCTGAACCATCTTCAAATCCTTTTGGCTGTTTCATATAAATATTTTCTTCTAGATTACCATTTAAAAAAAGTTGTTTTTATATTAAACTGATATAATTTTATCCCTGCAGCAATTGCTACCGCACGGATGTGAATTTGACTACTGGGCTGAAAGTCTCTACGTAATCTATTCCTGGTTTCTGAGTAAATTCTTTTATCACCAATCTGGCTTTATATCTATCAAATGATCCGCCTGCCTTTGTTTTAAATTTATACGAGTACACCCATTTGTTTTCTAGAGCTTTTGCCTTCTTTGGGAGTTATTCCCATGGGACTATTTCCCATGTATTATTTTTTTTAAGTGACTCCATTTCTTCTTTCATAGCTGCTTTCCATTGCTTCGCTTGGTTACCTTGAACTGCATCATCAAACATTTTGGGTTCTTGATATTCTGCAATAAAAAGTTCCTCTATATTTAAGTAGTCATCAAATCTGACTGGTTCACCAAATCTCACTAGTGCTTGGAGCATTCGGCGATCTCTTAATTCGTAACGTTGCTGTTCATTTTTATGCTCTTCATCAACTTCATTATCTGGCTCTTGAAGTTGTTGTTAATTTTCGGGTTCTTCCTCGTCACCTCGTTGTTCTTCTGCTGCATTTCTTTCATCTGGTATTTCTCTTTGGTCATTTTCGTTATTATCTGAAATTTCGTCGTTAGTTTCTTGGTTTTCTCGTAAATAGATTTCTTTCTCTTCCTTGAGTTCTTCTTTATTTTCGATTATCCCTGGTTTTTCATTTGCAAATACCACGTCTCGATGGATTTCTACCTTCTTTTGTTCTTCAAACCATATTCGATATCTTTTGGTAGAATCTCCAACTAATATTCCTACCTTAGCCTTTTTATCCCATTTTTTCCTCTTTTCTTTCGGGATATGCGCGAATGTTTTTGTACCAAAAATTCTTAGTTTTATTTGGCTATCGGGCCTGCTAAATCAAACTTTATATGGTGTCTTTCCTGGTATACTGCTTGTTCTTGTCCTATTCAATGTATAGACAGCTGCATTCACCGCCTCTGCCCACAATCTTTTATCCAATCCCTTAGCAAATAGCATGGTTCTAGCTGCTTCTACTATAGTCCTATTTTCTCTCTCCACAGAATCATTCTGCTCCGGTGTGTAAGGTACGCTTGTATCATGTTCAATTCCTCTATCTCTTATTATCTCCTTCATTTGAGCATTTACGAACTCCAATCCGTTGTCCGTCCTCAGTCTTCGAATTTCTCTTCCTAGTTGGTTTTTTGTTTTCTTCAGATAATCTACAAAAAACTTTAAAACCTCTGTTTTACTGCTGAGAAAATAGACTGTCTTATAATGTGAGAAATCATCTTTAAATAATAAGAAATATCTTGATCCTCCATACGACGTCGGGTCCATATATCCGCACACGTCTGCATGAACCAATTCACCTGGCTCCTTTGTTTTTGATTGACTTGATTTAAAAAAATCTCTACTCTATTTACCTAATACGCATGCTTCGCAGAAAAAATCTCGTTTTGTTTCAACCTCTATTTTCTTGTCCTTGAGATATTTCATAACATGTGTAATATTTTGATGTGCTAACCTTTCATGCCATAATTCGCTGCTCTATTTCTCTTTGTGTATGTACACTGTCTCCGATGTTGTCGTTTTGAACTTCATTTTGCAGAGTCCTCCGTTTCGCTCTCCCACCGCAATTATGCGGTCGTCTTTTAAGAGAATACACGTCTTGTTGTCGAACTGTAGCGTCAAACCTTTATCTGTGGCTGATGTTACAGAGAAAAGATTAAAATGTAAATCTGGTACGTACAATACTCCTTTCAAAAAACAATTTGCCCATTGCTTTCCGTTGTAGGCTTGGATGTTGATGTCTCCTATGTCCTGCGCTAGTATAATTTTTCCGTCTTCAATTTTAATATCTTTGAACTTTTGTAAAGCCATATTTTTAAACCATTTTTTCTTATCGGACATATGTTGACATGCCCCTGAGTCGAGATACCACTCGTCTGTTTCTGTGTCGTGTTGTGCTGCGTTGAGTGTTGCCCCTATCAGTACTATTTTTGCCTCAGGTTTTCATTGTTCTTCTCGTCACCTTTTCTACTTTTACACCAACAGTCTTTCTTTCAATGTCCTTCCTTGCCACACATAAAACATTTTCCAATTCTTTTTTCGTTACTACCTTTGCTATCTCGCTTCGGTTTGCAGTTTCTTCTTGCCGCTAAAACACTGTTTTCTTGCTGCAAGTTTACTCGGGTTTCCTCCATCGTGAGCCTAGATGTAAGGTTTGTCAACGTTCGCCGGTCTTCGCTGGCTGATTTCCACGCCATGACAAAATGCTGATATTGGGTAGGAAGTGTCATTAACACTTTCGTTACGATCATGCTATCAGGAATTTGATCTCCTAAAGCTATTAACCTATGCGCAAGATCTCTGATTTTAGCAATATGCGTTGCCATATCATCTTTCGAATCTTTTCCCAGAGCGAACCACTGTTACTGAACCATGTGCTTAGACGTCTCATTTTTATTTTCATAAACTTTATGTAATTTTTTCCAAATTTTTTTCGCTGTCTTGCAATTGATAATGTGTATTAAAACGTTTTCACTCACCGTCAAAACTATTATTCTTCTGGCTGCTCCATCCAGTTTCTTCCATAAGTTTATTCTTACGATATCCGCTTGCGTTGTTGTCGGAGTTTGTGGACCTGGATTTTCAAACGTGCCATCTACCACTGTTATCATATCGTTTGCTGACATTAATACTTCAACTTGAAACTTCCAAATTCCCCAATTTTCCACACCTTTTAGTTTAATCGCCTTTGAGATCTCGGATTCCATTTTTGGTTATATTGCTTTATTGCACACAGCTTGGCTAACCTTGAAAACTCAAGTCTCTTACACTCGCGTTTTTTTTTTATGGAAAACTGTCCTTTTCTACCAAAACTTTTATTTCTACCACGCACCTGGGCCCATAACCTGTTGTTATTATTTAGTTTCAGTATTAAATCAGGTGGTGATTTAAATTACAAATGACTTTATTTGCACACACACGAAAAATGACCATTACAAACCTTTTGCATAATTTAACCTTTTTAAAAAAAGGAAAAAAAGGCGCCAAGTACACGCGCCCTAAGGTAACTCGCAACTGGCCGACTCGCGTATAGATACCCGGAGTGCCTCACGGAGTGTCTCTTGATAATCATTGATAAACATCAGTCAGAAAAAAATACAATTATTTGTTATACAGAAAATAAACTCTATAGTAATTAGGAACTCTATGGTAACTAAATAAACTATCATGTTAAAAAAATATTGATTCAAATTATTCTTTTTTCAACAAGATCTAATAGATTTGGTTCAGGCGAACGTACAGGGCTTAGTACTGAATTGAATGTTCTCTTTCGATTATAACTCATAAACCAGGCATTACCGAACATATGTGTATATGACATTTCTTTCTTGTTAAGGTATGGAGAACTCACAAGTTTGTACAAGTATTTCTAAATCACCCTGTATAAGCTTCAAAAAAATAAATACAAAAAATACAGAGAAAAAAACAATTTTTATATTGAGATTTCCCCGTTTTTAAATATTTTATGATTTTATAATTAGCACGATTTGGTATTCATATTACACCAGTTTACAAATTTTACACTTTTTTTAGTGCCAGAAATGGAAACAACTTTAACGTATTTTGAGGTGCTGAATCCAAATCAGCAAGGCAAAATAGCCTATCAGGTCAGGTTTTCGAGAAAAACGGGGTTGAAACCCCCAAATATGCGTTTCTTACCTTTTTTGAAAATTCATAGCAGACGAAACCGATGTGCAAGAGACTTCAGACAGGGCTCAAATGAAAGCTTGAACATTATACTTTAATATAAAAATATCGAATTTTTTACCGCAGATACCATCGAACCTCAGGCGCGCTTTGTTTTTAGGCATAGTCGCACTACGTCAAGTAGAACGATTGTCCCATGCAGTCCGATTGCAAAATTGTCGCAAATAGTAAACATTTAGATCATAGATTCAATAAATGAGATTGAACGTGCTTAATTGCATCAAACACGTTTTTTCATTTGTTAAAAAAAAGTATAATTTTTTACAAATTATAATTTTTTTAACAAATGAAAAAACGTGTTTGATGCAATTAAGCACGTTCAATCTCATTTATTGAATCTATGATTAAAATGTTTACTATTTGCGACGATTTTGCAATCGGACTGCATGAGACAATCTAGATCTAGACTAATCGTTTAACACAATGTCTAAAAACAAAGCGCGCCTGAGATTCGATGGTATCTGCGGTAAAAAGTTCGATATTTTTATATTAAAGTACAACGTTCAAGTTTTCATTTGATTCCTGTCTGAAGTCTCTTGCAAATCGAATTCGTCTGCTACAAATTTTCAAAAATGGTAGGAAATTAATTGGTATTTTGGAGGATTTCAACATCGTTCTTCTCGAAAACCTGACCTGCTAGAAATTTTTTGATGGCAAATTTGTGCTCAGCGTTTAAAATTACTCTAGAAACAATGTTCAAATGCTCTGGCACAAAACCTTGTAAACTTGTGTTATTAATTAAAATTATATATTATTTTTTTATAATATTATTTATCTATAAATTGTTTAAATTTTGGTTATTATTAGACACATGCATATTCCTCTTAGAAATATATTTTTAGAACACGAAAAAGATACTTACTGCAAATACGTTCAGACTCATAGAAATTACAGTTATCGCTATTAACAACAAGAGCGAGCCTTGAAAACTAGCAAACAAAAAGTCGGTGAACCTTTAAGAAAAATAAAATATTATAAATGTGCTATACAGGGTGTATCCTGAAAAGTGGGAAGTATTGCAATGAGAAATTCAGGACACAAAAATAAGAGAAAAAATTCACATAAACATATGTCCGATATGACCGTGTTTTCAAGTCATAACTTGTTTTATTTTTTAACAGAATTAAGATAATTACGGTTACAGGAAGTGCTCAAAATGACTAGCTCTAACTTGAATACAGGCTTCAACACGTCTCATCATTACTTCAATTATCATCATTATCATCACTTAAACGTACTTCTATCATTAATAGTACTAACGTACAATACGAATACCTTACTTTCACTGAACACAAGATATGAACCGTATCACTTACAACACAAATAATACGCGTTTATGTTTACAAATTAACAAGACCTTAAGTCCTTTAAATATTGTACATAAACAGCAAACCGATATCCAAGTATGCTATCTTAACTCTATTGGAAAATATAACAAGCTATAATTTAAAAACAAGGTCATATCGGACATATGTTTATATGAACTTTTTCTCTTATTTTTGTGTCCTGAATCCCCCATTGCAATACTTCCCACTTTTTAAGATACACCCTGTATAATTGTTATCACACGCATACCAACTTTATAGCTTTGCGATGGATTTCGACAGCATAAAATATTTTGTTACATATCATAGTCCTATTCTTCAAGTTAATATCTTGGAGCATTTTGATTGTCATTATTTGTTCCATACGATAACTATGATTAATTTGTCTGCTGTAAATATGTGTCCTCCCAAAATTGTATTGCCAAAGTAAAATAAACAAACAAATAAAGGTTTTATTAGCTATATATTTCGTATCCATTTCTGAATTCATTTTTTCACCTTGCAATTCTAAACAATCCACAGGCGTGTATGGCGCATCCTATGAGCATTGTCCCCGTCGCTGTCAACGTAGTCGCTCCAATACAAATAACTGTGTTTGAATGCAGTAAAATAAAATAAAAATATTTATTTTGATCGACAAAGTATTCAGTCGTGATTTGTATTGTCTGACTCTGTATTCGAGACTCATTTATGTGCAGAACAGTACTGAGGATCTGTGGCCAAATTGGTAGCAAAATAACCAAAAATGTGCTGCATATGGTGAACACTAAAATCATTTAAATGAAATAATTGTAAACATTGCTCTTTTTGTTTTATGACATATTTTATTTATAGGCGCGTTCCACTTAACGACCGCAACGCTCACGGTATCATTTCTTCTTTGTTGTTCACCGAAAGTTAGACAAAGACAGATAATGCTCGCGAGCGTTACGGTTGTTAAGTGGAACGCGCCTTCTGTAATTTTCTCTCTCTACCTCTCTCTCCCTCTCTCTCCCTCTCTCATCCCTTTCTCGCCCCTTCTTCCTCTCTCTTCCTCTCTCACCCTCTCACACTCCCCCTCTCTCTCTCCCTCCCTCCCTCCCTCTTTCACTCTCCCTCTCTCTCCCTCTCTCTCCCTCTCTCCCCTGCCCTTCTCTCTCTCTCTCCCCCCCCCTCTCTCTCTCTCTCTCTCTCTCTCTCTCTCTCTCTCTCTTTCTCTCTCTCTCTCTCAAATTTTGCTGATTTTCAATCATTCTTCCACTCTGATATTTCTGCAGAATGTTGATTATAATGTGTTGTATATTTTCAATATAGTACTAATAAATAGTAAACATGTGTGCAGCATTGCATTCTGAACATATTAGAGAGTATATCATATTAGTTTTGATCGGCACTTTGTACGTCGGAATATACAACCGCCGTATTTGTTACTTTCCTTGTGTTAGGGCAAAACCGGGTACTTACACATCTTATGTAATGAAAAGAGGAAGAATTGTTATCCTGACTTTGTTTCTCTACAAAAAGCAGATGGAAATGAAAACTAACATTCAAAAAAAGAAACTATAAAAAAAAAACTTTTTGAGACCTCTAAAGTTAAAAATTTAAATAAGAAAATCTTGTAGCAATGTCGAACAAGAGGATATCTTTATTTGTCATTTTTGTCAATAGAATACATCTTTATATCGTATTTTGATTAAAATAAACCTAGATTTTGCAATTACACGATGTTTTGCATATTTTCAAATGGGTACCCGGATTTACCCTACTGGTAGGACAAAATCGGGTACTTTGACTTCTCCACAAAATCTTGTTATTCTTGGTAA